GACTCGATTGTAAGACCAGAGACATCTACTACTAGTGGAACTAATTTCTTGGTTTCTCAATGGCAACAGGGGCATTGACATGAGTTTAAAAAAGGAAGGCATGCAAATGAAAAGAAAGTAAACCAAGTTATGATGGGTACACAACCAATCAACTTTTGGGGACATAGCTATGAACCTAATACAACATATAGCAATCAAACATGGTGGATAAAGTAGACAAGACAAGGTAATGCCTCAAACTATTACATTTTTCACACAACAATTTGTTTACAAGCATGGATAATAATTTTCCAGCACAAAGATAACCTTAAATTTTTAAGGCCTTCCTTTTTCTCAAATCTCTTCGTGGTAACAAATTTGTTACAGAATCCTCAGTCTCAGATGGCAGAAACAATGCTGCAAGCTTCTAGACCTGATTCAATTGGCACTTCAAGTTAGAAAAATAGTTATCAACTGGAGTTATAGGTTTCATTATAATGTGTTACGACAACTTTTTGCATAGATAAGAATGTTCGTTTAATTAAACTAGCATAGTATCTGACATTTAAAGTTATTTATCCTATGGTTACTTCGCAAAGAGGAGGAAAAGATTAATTCTCTCACAGTAACTAAATGTCTGCCCATATTATGCCCTGAAATCTATTTATAAAAAGAAAATTCAAAAACTTAAAAGAAAAGAACATCCATGTGTCAATCAAGCATAAGTACCCCACCAGAAACACATGTAAAACTGGATTTGAAACCACTTTTAAGATCTAAGCAATCCCAAAGAAATAACAGCATAAGCTAGAGAAGAAATTCAAACAGCATAATCTAGAAAAAACTAAACATATCAGACCTGCAAATATGATTCTATCATCAAATGTTCAGATGTTAGGCTGAAAAACAGGAACTAACAGACCTTAACGAGTACATATTGCATATGAATGCATGTTGACTTTCTTTCCACAGGCCAATGCGAACAAAAATATTGGCTGTTAGCTAAATGGATTGCAAGTTTACTGGTGGCTTTAAAAGTTTACCTTATGTGGAGTATTTTTATGATTGGCAGAGGTTGAACTTTGTCAGTGAAGGAGTAACTGACAGTTTTTAACACTAAATACAGATATGAGGGAGGCATCTTGAATTTCATCAACATGGTCGTTTTAATTCACATGCTAAAAATGAAAGGCAACTTAAGTCTTAAAACAAGTCCAAACACCTTGAAAAATTTCATCCTTTTGTATGGAGTTAGATAATGATCTGGTATATTAGTCAGCCATAAGAGTTGTGACAAACATCATAAAACAGATATTGCATCTGAGAATTGTCCAAGATGTTTAAAAAAAAAACTTTGGAAAGCTGATCGAATGCTTTATGAAATAATGCAATGCCAAAAAAAATTGTATTTGGTAAACATGTAACTAAAACCAGAAAGCAATGATAACTGTTGTTACCAATATCAATTCTATGTCAAAATTTTGAGTGAGTTTTCAAGCAAATAGAGTATGACATTGTATGAGAATGAGCCTAAATCCTGAATCTGTTTAAGAAAACCAACTCCAACAAAGGAGGGTGAAATAATGTAAAATCATCCAGTATGTGAAACAAAGAAAAAAAAGTCAAAGCTTCAGTCATTACAATTCCCACACAGTTTTTTCCTTTTTTTTACACCAGAAACTACTCTGAGTCTTCCTTTAAGAGTATGCAAATAAAAGATGCATTGGAAACCAGATCTTGAGAGAGAGAGAGAGAGAGAGCAAAAAAGGCTCGGTCAAAAAGCATCACAAAATAAAAACGATCACATCTGTCAATGGGCATATGACTGGAAAAGTACCATGTAGCTGATCCAAAGGGTTGGGAAATACCATCCAACTAGTTGAGAATAAAAGGTGAGTGTTGGTCAAGTCATCATTATGATCTGAGTTCCTCTTTACATACTATTCCCCTACATCACTTCTTGATCGTAAATTTCCCACAAAGTTGACTTGGGAATGAAAAGGGAAGCATGGATCACTATATGGGTGTGAGCACATATTGGCCTTCTTAAACATTAAAAGAGATTAAATATGAACCCATTCACCATGATTCAGCTTTGGACCACTTGGTACAGCCTCTCAACGCATCAATCCAGCAGATTTCAGTACACAAGAGTCTGCAAAAATGTGAAAGTTATATCCAGCTTGATACAGCTATCCCTCAGCTGAAGGTGTCCTATGTGGTCTTGGATAAGGAGGATGGATCTCTCCAACTTTTAAAGAGGGTGGAGAACTCAATCCTTATAGGAATGGGAGTAAAAGAAACTCTTTCCCTAGACTCTCATAATCAAAGTCAGGAAATTCGAAAGCCAACCAAGCCTCCTCCCCAGCCACGCCTCTTTCACTATTATATTTCGTAACTAATTTAGCAGATAAAAAAGGATCTGCTTTACATCAAATTGTTAACATAAAGTCACAATCTGGGTATAGTATAGGTTAGACAAGTTATTTTATAACTAACATTACTATTTTGAGAGTTTTAGATCTCTTCCCTGGTGGTTCATGCTCTAATATACATGAAAGGATCATAAACCTAAAAGCTATTTTCTGAAAGTTCTTTTTATTTTTTGTGCAATGAAGTTTGTTTATTTAGCTGTTTAATTCTCTAGTTGATTATTAGAAATGTCTTCTTTTTTCCTTCGTGAACTTGAGAATCTCTTGTTAGATGCGTCACTTTTAACAATACGGCACAAAAGTGAGACAATCTACCACGACTTCATTTCTCTGATGTTCTTCGTCAACGATTATGAAGAAGAAGACGATGGAGAATATGTGGCACCAACTTCTCCCCTGATTCTGAGTCAGATGGAGACGATTACCACTAAATTTCTTAAGCATTAAACATGATGCAAATCTGTCTGCGTATATCAAGATCACGTAGCAACTCTGAGACACTAAATCTTTAAGCTTAAAGCTTCATGAAAGTACAGAAATTAGATGTTTCTTTTCATTTTATGAAATTACAGTCTCAAGGATGTCAACGCAAAATATGAACATCAAGATCCCACCTTTCGAGTGAAAACCCAAAGTCTAAGGTCAATTAACCTCATAAAGTTTGATTCGTAACCATAAGTCAGTGAAAGCACTTAAATCTTAGAGACAGCTAAACCCTAGCACATGGAGAAAGCAAATTAAAAAAGCTACTACCTCGGGGTGGAGGCAAGAGGACCCACCTAATGGTGGACTGTATTCGGACGAGACGAGGAGGAGGAGTTGGTGGTGGTGGAGGGGTCTGGTGGCGTAGCGCGCGGCGCGGGGGAGAGTTCGCGGACGAGGGCCGCGAGGGCCTCAGGGTTGACGCCGCGGTCGCAGAGCGCGATAAGGAGGGAGAGGGTGTGGCGGTCAAGGCCCGTCTCCAAGATGTTCGACATCTGGAACGCCAGCTCCAGCGTCTCCTTCGCGTTCCTCGCTGCCTCAGCCGCCGATTCCATCGCCGCTGCTTCGCCCTACTCCTCGCCCTTCTCCTCGCCCTTACATGTCCCTTCAAAACAATGAAATGTCGAATTTGCCCCTGAAACTTCAAATTTTCATGTATATTCCTTCAAAAAATATTAAATGTTTATATAAATGGTTTTCCTATTTATTTAAAAACATGAATGATAAAAAACTTGATGAAATAATTAAAAGTGTTTTAAGTATTATTTTTTAGTTTATAATTTAGTAATAATCATCACTAAAAGTAATTAATATGAATTTATTAGATGAATATTAACAACGTACTTTAAATTTTGAAATAAATTATATATTCATAAGCTTCGCATATATAGGAATGAATATATAATTTACAGAGACATTTTTTTCAAGTCAACTTGAGCTCACATATGGTTTGACCAGAAATTAACATGAAGAAGGGATCCTTAGGGTCTATAATTGGGTGAATTTCTGAAAAAAAATTATGAATTTGTCCAAAAAAAAAAGCTCTTGTTTTTAGAATTATCTAACAATATGTTTTTCTCTAATACCTTAAAAGACCCTTAATTATTATTATTTTAATAGACTCGTCTATAGAGTAAATCGATCTAATTATCATATTTTTATAATTCATTACAATAGTTTTAATAATATTAGAAAAACACTATAAAGTAATACAAAACACCATATTACAGTATATTTATATTGCGCTATAATATTTTCTAATATTGCTGAAAACACTATAATGTAGTGCAAAATTAATATAAATTGAGTATTTTTTTTATTTATATAAAAATAAAATATTATAGTATTTTTATGTTATAAATTTTTAATATTATTTAAAAAAAATACTATAATTAGACTGAGTCATCTTATACTATATCCACAAGAAAAAGAAAGACAAAGAATATTCCAAATTTAAAAATAGGGGGGTATTTCCATAAAAACAAAAAAAAATCCAAAAATTTACCCTTCATGAATTTATTTTTTATTATCTAAATGTAGCATTTTTATGATATAAAATATCATTTTTAGATGACACTTTTGTCCTCAAACCCCCATTGTATTGGTATAAATATGGAGTTGCATTTTAGAAAGTAAGAGAAAGAAACTTAGCTAAGTCGTGTAATTACAAATGTTTGCTAGAAACAAATCGGCACTTTCAAATGCACCCGAATAATTTCATCGAATTAGAACAATCATCCAATAATAGATCCTAAATTAAAAGATGACCAAATCAAATTTCAATAAAAAATATGAAAAATAATTCTTATTCACCGCTTATATCTTGAAAAAATTTAAAAATAATACAAATTTGATTACGTACGCACCATTTTAGTATGTCGCAATAGATATAATATGTTAAATATATGAAAAACGAATGGCTCAAAAAATATCTTCGTGGGTACATTACCTTTTATTTTTTATATTTCTTCAATTAATATAAAATTATATTTTATTTATTATACATCTAATAAAGTTATTTAGTTTCATATTAATCGAGGAGTATAGATATTTTTTGAACTCACGTGCTCCAAAAAAATAAAATTATACGTTAAAAACATACAATTCAACGCGCGTTTTTTTATTTTATTTTATTTTATCATTTTCGCAAAAAGACACACATGAAAACAACATCTTTATCGGTCTACCCAAGTCTAAGTTGCGACATATCCGGAGGGGCGGCCGCCGCCCGGGCAATGAAAGGGTGCCGGAGGAGCTGCGCCGCCGTGAGTCGACGCTCGGGCTCCTTCTGCAGGCACGAGGCGACGAAGCTACGGAACTCCGGCGAGGCGGTGGACGGCGCCTCGGGTGGCGGAGCGTAGCAGATGGCCACCATGAGGCTCGCCCAGGCCCCCTGGCTCCGCAGCAGCTCCCCGAATGGAAACCGACCCAGGTAGAACTCGAGGACGCTGACGCCGAAGCCCCATATGTCGCCCGCCCGGCCGTCGTAGGCGCCCTCGTTGGGGTCGGTGTTGATCCGCTCGGGGCTCATGTAGGCGATCGTACCTACCGCGGAGTTGCAGGGGTCCATCGTCTGCGCCAGGATCCGGCCGACCCCGAAGTCGGCAATCTTGACCTCCCCCGCGCCGTTAACGAGCAAGTTGGACGGCTTGATGTCGCGGTGCACGATCCGGCGGCCGTGGAGGTCGGCCAGCCCCACCAGGACCTGCCGCGCCACGGCGGCCAGCTGCGCCTCGGAGGCGATACGGCGGTTCTCCAGCGACCCGCCGTCCATGTATTCCAGCAGGATCTGGATCTCCCCCCCGCGGTCGTAGAACCCGTGGCACCGCACCACGGAGGGGCTGTCAGCGGCGCGGAGGATCTCGATCTCGCGGCGCATCTGGCGGCGGACGTCGTCGTCGTGGCGACCGTGGATCACCTTCAGCGCGTAGACGCGGCCGGTGGGGCGGTGCCGGACCATCCACACCGTGCCGCCGCTGCCGCTGCCGACGCGGCGGACGCGCTCGAGGTCGGCGAGCGCGGGGACAAGGTCGGCGCCGGCGGAGTGCGGGGGGAGGGGGAGGGGGACGGCGAAGGAGGCGTCGCGCTGGGGGAGGGGTAGAGATAGGCCCAGTTGGCGGCGGGGGCGATTCTGCGGTGCGGTCTGGCTCGACCGGGACGGTCCGGGTCTCATGGTTCTCGGTCTCGGCTTTTGAGGGAGGAGCTCGCGCTTGGGGGCAAATAATATACCCAATAGAATTAGACCGGGGATTTATTGGGTCTTTCTTGGGAGGGTTCTTGGAAGGAGAGCGTGTGGAGAAATCGCGGCGTGGTGTGTGGTAGCTTCGTATTCGTCGTCGTCTCAAACAGCTCCAACTGGGCGAGAAAGAGATTAGCGAGAGGTGAAGGGAAGTCGGCGAAGTAGAAAACAGAGTGCGGAAACGTGAAGCTTCTCCCTGAGACTTCCACTTCCAAGGTATTAGGTATGGAATCCTATAATACTGTTGTGATAATATCCCTTGATATATATCATTGCCATACATTCACAAGCTTCCTTGCATTCCTCTACGGGGCAGGAGCTTCCCAGGTTGACCTGGTTCAGCTATCTATTGTGTTGACTCTCAAGACCGCATCAAACCATGAGGAAGACCGAGCAGAAGCCCCACCCCGCCCCGTCAAACATGGCATTTCCCCGGCTTGTCAATCGAGCAAACACAAGTCGGGTCAGCGGACAAACTTAAAGAACAGGTTATCAACTTCCCTCTCTACCTTCATATTGCAATGCAATAATTTGATCTCATGCTTAGTTTTCTCTGGTATATTGCTCGTTGCTGTGCTTATGGGTTTTCATTGTCTGAGTCAGGCAATTTTAGGAGCCATAATTTCATTTTTAATTCGGCTTCCGGTATTTGAGACTCAGCCATTTCCATTAACTGGTAGATACTTTAATTACATTAAGGAAAGTGGTGATTATGATGAGTTAATTGTCCTTGAAACTGGACAATGAAAGAGGACCAGTTCATGCTCTTGGATTGCTAAATAACAGCTTAACTCACAAAATGAGAATCATGTTGAAAGTCACTACTCGATTAACTATTTAGATAAACACATGTACACATAAGTTCAAGATTTTTTATTATTTGTTAGTGGACTCGGCATCTTTCTTTTTTTTTTTCATGCAAAGGATAAGTGACAAAGACAGATTCGAGCTCACGACCTTGCAATAAACTATCAAGATTTTTACCCGTTAAGATGGTTGACATATGTCCGAATTAGGTTACATTAGACGTGAGCTATTCTGATTTCATGTTCCATTAGACCACATTCATCATTCTTTTCTTCTCTAAAACTGCTTCACACACTTTCAAAGGAATCAATGTTGTCGTAATTTGTGTCACTGCCTTTCTTAACATTATTGTTGAAAGGAGCTTCTCTTCCTGTCCGTATGACCTGTTATAGTAGAAAAGCAAGTTTTCATGGATTTGTGAATGATATTATTGAAAATATTTCATGAGCGAGAGAAGATAAAAGATGGGTTAGAGATTAGGTATTGACACGTACCCCATGGAACTCAAATAATTAAAAGTCTCAATACGATATGAAAGCTAGGGTGCAAGTTTATGTTGGATGAATCCACCAAACAAAAGGTTAAGAGTAGATTACAGGAAGCTCCAACCAAAATAGATTGTTCCATGAGTAGATTCAAATGGGTGAACCCATCCAATAGACTAGGTTCGAAAAAAAGAAACTCGAAAATAAAAGATCAAACCGCATATAAAGGGGGAGACATTGAAGAAAAAATTAGTGTAACGAAAAATAATGATAAAACAGAGATTGCTCATGGAACAATCAGATAATGATAAAACAACTCAACCCACCTAGGTCAGATATGATTTACTTAGTTTGCAGATAGGAAAATAGGTTTCAGGTTTCTGATTGAGATTGAAATGGGTTGAATTGTTTAAATAGTTTGTTAAATTGGACAGTCGGTGCAGTAAAATTCACAAACACACTATTCTTTCTAATATTTAGCGCATGAGACATGCTTGTCTATATATAATGAAAAAATTGAGAACAAATTCATGGAACAATAAGAAACGAGTACTTTGAATTAATTATTTTTGCAAATTATAAGGTGTTATAATTTTTCTTCGATAACAACCCATAACATCCAAACATATTTCGGAAGGTGTTGGCTTACACTCATGCCTAGCAACATTACTTTACGTAGGTCCGAGGGGAATACTGGGGAAGGACATCAACCTATCACGAATATCTCCTATCTTCTTTGATCTTGGTATGTGATGACTCATTCAATCTTAGTAATGATCTTGCAGGAGTGGTTACGTTGTCAAGAAGGCTGATGAAACGTTCATTTCGTTTTAAAGAGAATAAAGCTGGAGAATAAGAGGAACATTTTCATTTTTTTTCCGTTCTTGTTGGTGTAGCTGAACACGCGTATCATAACTATTATCATCCTCAGTGATGATGATATTGACTATATTTTGATCTTTCTATCAATCCTATTGATCTCATCAGTGTGAAGTGTGCTCATGTTTTCAATAATATTATTCTTTTCCCTCGTGTATTACTTCTTGTAACATCTACATGTATACTTGGACGACAAAGGATTTCCAGTCACACAAAGGGTCTCTCTTTTGTCACGGGTAAGATCGATAGATTAGCCCTCTCTTTTACTTAATTTATGGCTAGTGGAAGTTTAGTGCATTCATGTGTCCTCTTTAATCATTAGATATTATTCTAGAAAGATGATGGACAGTAATCTTATACCTCCTCCATTCTTTGCAGACAACTTTTTGATGCTACAAACTTTTTGATCCTACCAATTTGGCTATGTTGTCCATTCAATCTATGACCTCCATGTCTTTTTCCAGGATCTTTCAACGTAGCCACCCTAGACTTTTCCCTTCTCATGAAATTATTCTTCCGGGGGACCATTCCCGGTGCACAAAGGCGGTAGGTGATATGACAATGACTTCATCGTTGCCGAACTATGGAATGCATGTCACCGAACAATAAAAAGAAAGAAATAAAAATATAAATGGACTAAATATATATTATCCTTAGTTACATTTAGTATTTCAATCTTTACACTTTAAAAAAATTATATTTATATTATTATAATTATAAAAATGAAACATCTGAATCTATTTATCCTAACGTCATCGATTTTATCAATAAAAATATAAAATAAAGAATAAAAAAATAATTTTAATGTTTCGATTGATGATGATGAATGACGTCGGTGGTGATGAACGATGACGCCATTGGGGGGGCTCTTTCATCGCTATGTATTTGTATCGATTTCGACGTAGTTGTCGAACGATGTCACTTAGCATATGCATCGGTGGTTCTTTCGTCGTTCGATAATTATGTCGGTATCGACACAGATGCAGAGTAACTCTTATCTCTCGTTATCGTTTTTCTTATTTACAATATCTAACCACGACTCCTAACAATATTGTTGTCCGTCACTTAAAATATAAAATTATTATTATTTATTAATTTATATTTTTATTGATAAAATTGATGATGTTAGGATAAATTTATTTAGATATTTTTTTATAATTATAAAAATATCGATCTAACTATAGGGATTAGCCGGTAGGGCGTGGGTCTCCCACGCCCAAGACGCCAAATTTGTACTCCCGTTATGATACCAGAGCCCACGTGATGTACGCTTCGATGACTTTTCAGCGGACCAAACATGCATGCCCATGATTCCTCCAATCTAGGCTTCATGTGTCCATGCACGACACATTGTTCGTCTCCATATTTCTCCTCCGCCTTCACTGTCAACTTCA